CTTCACATCTCTAGTAGCAGCGGTGTAGAGAGGGCTTCAAGTCACCGCTTGCATGTGGAGTTCACAAGAACAGACGTCCGCTTCAATTTTTATCATACAAGAGGGATGAGCGGATCATCGACTAAAGTCCTTAATGAACAAAAAATTATTATTAATATTATTTATTATTGCCGTTATTATTATTATTATTATTATTACTAATATTATTTATTTATTATTATTATTATATATAGAAGAGAAATAACACAAAGCAGCGGCAAAGGCCGAGGCACTGCTGCAGATTTATCCTTTTTTTTTTGAATTTTTTTTTTTGATTTTCTCCGAAAGATACGTTGTCGTGCAGGTTTGATCCTTGAAGGATATCGCACTCTCGAAACCTACAAAGCATACCGTTGATGGATTAGATGTTCAAAATAAAATAAAATTCAATATTAAAATTAAATTAGCATTAGACTCACTATTTTCCAATCAAAACAAAGATACTAGGCTTATTCCCCGGAAACGGCGCCAAAATTTGATCGAAGAATTTTGGAGATTTTTAAAAATATCTTTTAAGATACAAAAAAAAAATGATATATGTATAAAATAAAAATAGTTTCGTGCGTCTTCGTGTAGTCACTTCAAAAACTTCGTCAAAAATAAAAAATTTCTTTAACCGGTGAGTGTCCGGGTCAAACTCAGGGAATATGAAAATATCATATATTTAATTAAAAAAAGTGCAATGAGTTAATCCAATCGAAGAAAATGAAAAGATAAATTTCAGAAATTAAATCTAACTAAAAAAACGATAAAATATAGTATCTCGAAAAGGATGAAGCGAGACGTTTGTGTCTGACTTTTGCGTTCCTTAATGGCTAGATTTCCATGAATGAAATAAGTGGGATGACGATGGTGTGATAGCGAAAAATATATGTATAATTGCGGGACGGCTCGAAGAAATGAGCATGACCGCATTTGCTCACTTAAGCCGATTCTCGATTCGGTTGGTACTCGACCTCAGGGGATTTACAAGAAGGCTTCAGCGACACCCGGCGAAGAACATTATAAGTAAGAAACTCTACTGTCACTAGAAATTTTTGTGACCCAATAGACCACCGCCTATGCCCCATGAATTATTCTTCCAACCGTTTCGCTAGTGGTTCTACCCCTCTGATACCTCTCTTTAATCGGAATCGAATTCAGAACAACAACTAAGCAGGTCGACAAGGCTCCTGCATACTTAGCTACGTTGAACTACCCGGAATCTGTATGTGACACGAAATAGGGCTGAAATAGTCAATTCTTCTATCGCCCTTCCGCAACCTTGTCGAAATCCAACTTGAACAATTCAAATCGAACATGAAATTTTTGGGTGAAAGTGAAGTGGAGAAATATGATAGGAATTTTACTAGCTAAAATGATATGCAGTAATTAAAAGAAAAGGAGGAGAAAAGCAGTTTGCTCGTGACACAAAACCGAAAATCTCGTATTATTAAACTAGATAAAAATATGGGAGAAAAAATGCAAAAAATAAAGTGTATGGAATGTATATTATTGTGTATATGGGTGTTTAGAGGGGATATTTATAGGGGGAAAAGCTTTTAGAAGCTTCGCAGTTACAACCGTCCATAAATAACTAGTTCTAAAAATTACTACAAACTATCTCTAAAAATAGCAATTAATTACCTCTAAAAATAATCATAAATAACTATATCTAAAAATAGCTACTAACTACCTCTAAAAATAACCATAAATAACTACATCTAAAAATAGCTAGTAACTACCTCTAAAAATAACAACTAATATAAATACTAATAACTTACTAAAAACTACATATTTTCTATAATGTTCTAGAATAAATATTACAAAAATAGCCAAAAATTGGCTAGGTGATGATGCAGGAATTAAATATGGGAGCTGAGAGAGTGCAGGAATAAATGCAGGTGACTGGAATAAATACAGGTGACTGGAATAAATGCATGAGCTGAAGGAGGTTGGGCGGATTTAATGCAGCCGCCGCTTATTTTCCGCATAGCCACCATCGCTCACTTTCATGTAGAGATTTCCGTTCCACTCACATTTTCATGCAGCCACCGCTCACGGAGTCCGTGCCAGCCATCATTTTAGCTTTTTAAAACCAGTTTTGAACTCCCAAACAAATTTTCAAGCATTATCTCACATGTATAAATAATAAACACCTTATAAAAATTTATTTAAATAAATAATAAATAAAATTAATTTAGCCAAAATTAAATACTTAAATAGCACATAAATAATGCTTAAAAATATAATTTAAGAAACACATCAGTTAATTTAAATTATCACCAAAATAATTATAAATTAAACCTAAAAATAATAAATTAATATTATACGATGAAATAAATACAATTATTAGAGTAAATTAAAATAAATAATACCAAAATTTGACATAAATAAATAATTAATTAAATAAATATAAGTTATAAAATATGGCAAAATCAAGAGTTATCAGCCATCAAGATGTATTGAGGGATTTAGACGGAATATGGATGCTAACTACAAGATCTAACGGTAACTGAATGCAATCGACATAACTCAATGAAAATGACTAGAATTAACGTAAAAAATTATTGGAATAGTAAATTGTGACGAAAGTATGTTTTGTCCGCTGCCGCAACTTCCGCCGAGAAAAGGTTCTTTCCGGCTTCAACCTCCCAAATCTCGTTGCCATCCCAAAACATCAATTTATGATAGAGTCATTGATGGAACACACTTGTTTATGTGCATCCAATCCTATCCTAAGAGGGTTGAGTAAGATGGTCTATTGTTGATCACTACAAAGGCCGATTATATCCTCTTGGTGCCCATTTTCATACCCACTGTAGTGATGTCTACTGGTTTGCGTGATTTTCCCATAAAATTTTTCGCTCGAACGGACGTCGGGATCAAGTCATTTCTAGTTTTTCCAAATTTGCACAAAGTCTTGAAGAGCATCATGTTCGCAAACATCTTGCCGTCCATAAGGACGACCGTTAATAAAGGCCCTAATATATAAGGCTTGACATGCCTTTCAAATTCCAACTTGATTATGACGTCATTCTTTTATGCCATGGACTCCTCATCCACACTGATCCCCTCTATCTCTTGGAGTCTTCCCAGGTCCCTAAACTTTGTTGGCAGCAAGCCTACTACAGACAAGGTCCCTGTGTGTGGTTCTAAAGACCCTTTTCTGCAACGCTTTTGACTTTCAAAACCCATTTTTGTCTAACACTTGAAGGACGGACCCTTAACTTGTTTACCTTTCACCTTCTGAGCCGCTTCCCCGGGTCCTCGTTCTATTCTTCTGCTTTTCGAGTCTGTAATCTCTTTTTCTGGACTCACTTTTTCTACATCCTGATGAGCCTTTTCATTGTGGCCCTCGGGAGTTCGGGCTTGTTCACAATCCATCTTTCCTTCTTCTTCTTCTTCGTAGCGGGAGGTTTTCTTGTCAACTTCGGGGAGATGGCAAGCTAATCGGCCATCGTGATGGTCCATACCTATTTTCCGCTTTCTATCTTCACCTCTACTACTGTGGCTCTGAGCTTGATCCCCTTATCGTTCTCGCCTGGGGCCTTCAGGGCCAGGTATGGTAACATTTACGTCTGGACCTTTATGCATACTCCTTTGCCCTAGAGGAGTGTCTAACCCCAAGCCCTCGCCAAAGGTCAATCCTCTTGAACACCGACTTCTTGGCGGGGGCCCTCGGCCCCCAAGCAATCGTGGACTGAGGTCCTCGAAGGTCGTTCTCCAAGCTTGTCTTTTACCATCCCCTCCGTTGATATGGTGTTAATGGCAGGGGCAGGGACTTTTGTCCTTTATCATAAGCTTCAGCGTGCCTTTTCGATGGCCTTCTGTATGGTATTCTGCAAGGTGGTGCAATACCGTGCTATTTGTTGTAGACTTTGCCTTTCAGTTCTTCACTTAAGGGAATCATTTGCCCTCCTAGGAGCATAATTTACTTGTCCTTCAAGAGATTGTCAAAGATTTTTTCCACCTTCGATGTCATTCTACCGGTCTCTTTTCCTTCGGTTGGCCTTAACGCCCAACATGAGTATGCCTTCGCTTTCACCAATTCCAAGCCCAAGACTTCCGTACCTTCAGGGTACTATTCGTCTGAAGTCAGATCCTCCAAACAAAAGGCTATGTTTGGCTTCCCTTTTTTTTTTTTTTTTTCATTTGTTAGACATTCGGTCCCTCGTTTCCTTCATCAACCATTCGCCAAGACTTTTCTGGTCATATGTAAATTTTGGTTCAAATATTTTTATCTTCTTAGGCTTCGGATTCAACAAAAAAATTTTGTGATTCGCTTAGACTCTGGAGCTGTGACATCCCGGCCCGCAAGCCACGCAAAGCCGAGCGTGTCGGAATTGCAGACTGGCCCCACAGGTCAACACGAGTCAATTTAGCTCGCTTTTGTCCTCACTCACGCGCACCACAGAGCTGTGACACCCCGGCCCTCAAGCCACGCAAAGTGGAGTATATCGGAATTGGAGACTAGCCCCACAGGTCAATACGAGTCTTTTCAGCCCGTTTTTATCCTTACTCACGCGCACTCTGGGAGACTTTTTAGGGGGTCACCCATCTTCAAATTACTCTAAGGCAAGCACGCTGGGCTCCCGAAAAAGAATGTGCACATTGTTAACATAAGTAGTCTATTCAATCGATTTAACCTATATTCAACCTCGGATGACCCAGTACCGGCTCATCCACAAGAGTTGGCCTAGCACCGGCCCAACTCCAAAAATGTTACATGAGCATAATAGAGTTAGTCGAGTCTAGTATTCACCAAATCCAAACCTCAACTCAGGACCTCATTCTCTGACGAGGCGAGCAAAGCGCGCCTATGGCTTACCAACATTCATATACCTAATAACCATATATAACTCATTCATTTTAACTTACCAAATAATCAGTTCCAAAAATTTCAAACTTATTTTATATAAATTAAATTCCATCGATTAATTAACCAATCAAGCCATACATATACAAAAACCAGCACAAACTAAACAAATTAATCCTCCATTATTAACCATTGAGCATCCAACGTTAAACAATGAGCGTAAATACATTTCAACCAAACAATACCTACAAATTAAATTTATACATGAGTATTAGTTTGGACATCATAGCTTTCTACCCTCAACAATGGCACCAAACACCAAAGCAGCAACAATGAGGGATATTTTATGACTAACCAGTATCATCACCGAATCCATTCCAATCCAATCTGAACCGCAGAGTAGAGACATCGATCAGTTGTCCCGCATGCTCCAACCGGGACATTTTGGCCACAACCCAATGGAAACTATCGACATAATTATCACAAAATAAATGCTCACAGCATAGGCATTCAGAAAGCTTGAACCTGTGCGGAAACACAATGCCGGGAACCACATAAAGCCCGTCCTTGCGCTGCCCTCTTTAGTACCATGCTTTGCTGGAGACTCCCGGCTTTGATCATGTTGTTGAGCAATTTTAGCTTCATCGAGATGTCCATATTCTCGGTCACGAGGCTTTGAAGTTCTATTAATGCTTTTAGCAGCCTGCATCAATGAGTAAGGACCAGGAAATGAGGAATAACATGTAGTTGTTGATATAGGAACTCGGCTATGTCCGGTGCATTTCAGAAGGAATACCACCGAAGAAATTTAGTTTGTTTTAGAGACTGAGCTGTATTTACCTCTGTAGCAAGTGGGCGCAATTCTTTTTCTTTTGGACTGTTGGCATCTTCAGATTTTAAGCCACGAATGGAGTTTGGTAGGCATTCCATCAGCAGATGGATCCTTCTTGAAGCAGTTCCCTGGTTGGCAGTGTTTGCCGAACCAGGTCGACTTTGTGGCTGACGAGAATGAATCTTGATTGCAGTTCCAGTGGGGAGAGTACTACCATCTTCAATCAAATGTGAATCGAAAAATGAATCATCCACCTGCGCATTCAGACACTGGAATAAAACAGAACTGAATTAATTTTCAAATTTTCAAATTGATTCCAGAACATATGTGAACTTTTAAAACGGTCAAACTATCCAAATAAGAGATATCTAAAGGGCAAAACACAATATCTACGAGATTGTAGATCGTAAGAAGCTCATTACCTGTGAGTTGGTCATTTCTGAATCCGACTCATCATAAATTTGAATATGTTTTCCATCAAAGAATGCAGCTGGTGATTGCTCCATTCCATTGATCTGCTCAGGAATGAGACTGTCCTTTGCAGCACTGAAATTCAACTGAGCAGTAGAGTCCAAGTAGGAAAAGCTATCAAAACTTTGAAAACCTTTCAGCAGCTCTGAGAAGGATACATCCGGTTCGAATGTACCATCTTGAAAGTGTGATTCATCAAGAGCATAGCCAAAATCACGCGAGAAGGGTGAACCTATGCATTCTCCTGAATCGGCAGTCGGGTGAGACAGAACAGTATCTGAGAAATTGTTGGCAGGATCAGGATCCTCAAATTTGGGAATTTCCTGTAAGGAAGCATCCACCTGGATAATACCGGAAAAGTTTTAGAAAAAGAATTACTAGGACGGAGACTTGTATTACTCATTTAAACTTTTGACAAGAAAGAAACTGGCCGGTGCGAGAATGAATGTATTTTATCAGACCTCTGTTGTTAAATTGTCGTTTGAGTGACCAGAAACATTGGATGTGCAGCTTCCAATAGGCATTTGCGACATATAAACCGGATGGTCTGGTTCAAGTGCCGACTGCTTCTTAACACCCTCCGATTCCTTCACATCCACAGCAGGCACAACAGGTTCTTGAAACAGATCTGATGTTACATCATCCGGAGAAGATTTTTCGGTAGAAGGAGAAGATCCGGTAGGATCAACTTCATCATACTTTGCATTAGCCAGGCTATCATCTGCCTTGTGAAATAAGCGGCATAAAACGTAGTCTCCCTGTGTAATGTATCAAAGCAGGAATTTACCACAACAGCAATCATTATAGAGAATGAAGTGAAAAGTTAAAGATATAAATCAAAATCAGAGTTATGATTATATTAAGTAGTAAAGTACAGTTAGAATAAATCTCACTTTGCATTTTCATTGTCAAATACCTAAATGAAGATGATAAGAGTATTCTAGTAAGGAATGGTCAATGGGGAGTCCAACCAGCTGGTCGGCAAGCTGAGCAGGTAAAAATTGCAAATAAAGAAAAACTAAAAAATTTTGTGGAGATGAAACATGCACGACACTATGGAGGTATCTCCACTGACCAAGGAAAAAATACGAGTATCATTTTAATTGTGAAAGTATAATCGTATAATTTCGTGGATGAGATGTCAAATTTCAAAATGATATCAATAATTTGTACTTACAGAAATGTGTAGGTGATCACAGTATCATTCCAAGAAACCTTAACAGTGATGATAAAATGAAATATAAGAAAACACAAGATAAACAGAGCATGAGATAGCTACGATTGTGCCAATACACAAGATAAACAGAGCATGAGATAGCGACAATTGTGCATTGGCATGAACATGATAGTATCATAAGGCATAGAAGAAATATATATTGACCTTCCCAGGAGCAGAACCACTGAGGTCTGGTTCAGTAGCACGATACTCATGCATTATCCAATTCGTACGTTCACCTTTAGGAGCACGACCCTTGTAGAAAACAAGAGTTTTCTTCATGCCAATTAATTGGGTACTGGAGCAACCAGAAGGCAATGACTTGCGAGATTTTATAGCACGGTCTTTCCCAGTAGCCTTCCAATAACCTGCTTCAGTGGCTCTATTAGAACGATGACCATTTGGATATTTTCTATCGCGAGGACAGAAGAAGAACCATTCAGGGTCATCAGACTTTATCACGGAGAGTGCTGCAAAGGAGAAACAACTTTAGGACAAAAGATTTATGCTAGAATCCCTGCTAAACATTTACGCAGAAACTACATAGGGGCTCAATATGTAAGAAACATTCATAACCATACTTTACAATACAAGTCAGGGCAAAGACGAAGACTAGATAACCATACTTTACATGACAAATCAGTGCAAAGTCGAAGGCCACAAAACAACATAAAGAAATATCATCAAGAATAAAAAAACTCAACTTTGATTGGACAAAATTTGTTATCTAGGTGTAAAAAGAACTGTTTGAATGAACATTTTGAAGATGATACCATTGTCATTGGACAACCTAAAAAACACTTTCTCTCATCAATGAAAATTGATTTGATGCTCCGTGGCTTCTCCACTCTCTTCTACAATCAATAAAGTTCTAAAATACTTGAAAATTTCAATTTAATTGACATCATTTGTAGATAAATTGTCATTACTGGCCTACATGTCATTTTCTCTCATAGACACGTGGGTTTACTTGTAAGATTTTGATTTTGGATTTTGGTTTTGACCAGTAAAATTTTGAATTGAAATAGTTATTTGATGTGATGTACATATGTATTGACGTGATGTTTTGAATGTAAAAGTTAATTTTAGTGTAATATAATAAATAAAAAATAAGTATTTGATTTGATATGTTTTTTGGGAAAAAAGAGTAAGAAATAGCAAAACTGAAAATCAAATCTCACAAGTAAGCACACTAGCTATACACATATTCATGTATATGAACCACTACATTCTGATTACATCCATAAAAATTCTTAATTAAATTTTCTGGTTACTTACATCCTCCTATATCTACCAACAGAATCAACTTCACCAACGCATTCCAACTCACAAAATGATCAGCAAAAAAGGCCTTCTGGAATAGGGAACAACAGAACAAATTCTGTATTGAGGCATAAACAAGTCTTGTACATTCCAGTTCAAAAAAATATCCAGCAATGGAATAACCCTGACATAGGCACACAAATCATAGCCACAAACCATAGAACCGAATTATCATTGTATACGCAGTATCTAGGCCACAATTCACTGGAAAATAAACTCCACGTCATAGAGTGAGAGAATACACAAAGGAATATATATATATATATATATATACATATGCACACACAAAAATTAGAGAGAGATAGAAACCCTAGCATACCGGGAAGATCCCAGGGCTCTCTTTTGCAGACATCAACCTCAGGGATAGCCTGAACGGAAGAATTGTGGCCGTTAATTTTGAGCCTGAGATAATGGCTGATGAGCTCCTCGTCCGTCGGCCGGAACCTGAAACCCTTAGGCAAAGCCTCCAATTTCATCGTCATCGTCATCACCTGTTGATCATGGACGCGTAGTTTGCCCCAATTCTTTATCTAGCAGTCATGGCAGCAGAGCAGAAGAATTTCGATTAACCGAGAGGTCAAAAAGTGAAAAAGAAAAGCAAACCTCTCGAGCTTCCCACTGTTGTGAATTTTTGTCTGAAATTGAAAAAAGATTTCTCCGCAGAAAATCTATGGCAGGAATCAACCGCGGTCATTCCGTGTTACCATACTGTTTGTTCTGTAGAATTAATAAACTGCTCAAATCGAGGTATGGTAGTTAATCCGTACAGTGCGATTTTATGGAGGATTTACAGTAGCAAAACACGTTTACTTGTTAATACGTCAAAGAAGGTCATTTGTAATAATAATTACCTCAATATTATTTTTAAGGCATTGCACTTTATTTTACTTTCTATTTTTATTTGCAATTCAATCTACCGAGATTGTTTTCACACTGCATTTTTTACTTTCTAGTAGTGTGTATTTATTTACAATGGTTAATAAAATTATAGTAGGTATTAATAGAGATTTTATTTTAAATTATTTACTTTAAAAAATTTATAGATTTAAAAAAGTTATAGACTATCGATGCAACTATATATATATAACACTTGTATATATGATTATCCAAATTATTTGGACATATCATATCCTTGTACCTAAAAAAAAAATAAAAAAATTCCATAAAAAAATACAAAAATTCAAAAATTATAATAAATAAAAATAATATGAATCAAATAGTAGGAAACAGTAATAAAATGTGGAAAAATAAAAATTTTCATTAAAAGATAAAAAAAGCTTATCGTATAAATTGATTCTAGTATATATATACATATGAGCTCAGTGTGAATTTTATTTTTTTTCAATATTTGTGCAATTTTGCAATTTCAGAATTTTGACATTTTTTTTTATTTTACAGTTTTTTACTCTTAGATCAATAAATATATTATTTTTATTATACAAAATATTTTTATAGTTTTTTATATTTATTTATTTTTATTTAGATTATATAAGATAATTTGCAATATTTATGCCTATAAATATGAAATATTGTTACTAAAATTTTATTTACTTATTTATGAATTACTTTAATACTATTTTTATTAAATTTATTTTTTTGGATTTAGATTTTCTTTTTTGTTTTTACGATTTTTTACTTTTTATTAGTGAAGTTAAAGTTTTTATTATTATTTTTACGTATTAGTTTTATAATTAATTATTTTTATTATACATAATTAATTTATTTTTTTCTTTTACAAGTTTTCACATATTGATAATGGAGTTACAATTTTTTTTAGTGTGTTAGTTTTTTATGAAGAGGTTTTAATGGCACAAACCAAATTTGAAACTACAATCTATTTCTACTGTAAGTTATTTTATTTTGTAGCAGAAAATTTTATTTCTTCGTCTTTCTTATGATTTGGTGCTCATTTTTGTTAATTATATTTTTTGAATTTTTGTATAACCTGTTAAGTCGTATTTTTTTTATGGTAGATGCAAAATCTTTGTATCAGAGGAGATTGCCACCGGGAGTAAAAGTCGATTTGTTGAAGTAAGTTTTTGAATAAGATTTTTTTGAAATTTTTGTATAGTTTTTTTTACAATGTGTATTTTTTTTTATGCCAGAAGCAAAATCTGAAACTAGAATTAATTTCTACTGTACGTTTTTTTATCTTTTAACATAAAGTTTAATTTTTCCGCATCTTCTGTTTCCTACTATTTGATTCATACTCATTTTTATTAATTATAGATTTTAAATTTTTGTATAGTTTTTTAAACCATTTTTTTTAATGATAAAAGCAAAATATTTCTACTGAAAGAGATTGCCACCAAAAGCAAAAGTCTGCTTTCTTAAATTAAGTTTTTGAATGAATTTTTATTGATTAATTATCCAATTTGATTGCAAAAGTTTATCTCATTCATTTTACTTTTTTAAAATTTATATTTTATTAAATAATATATTTTTTTAATCAATTTAGGTCTATCTTCATCTTCAGCATTTAAAAAAGAAAAATTGTATAAAGAATTATCCATTATTTCTTTACATCCACCTTAGGAATTTTTTAAGAATATTTCATGTCTATTAATAATTACTAATAATTGCAAAACTTTATCTCCTTCATTTTACTTTTTAAATTTTATATTTCTTTTCGTCCACTTTAAAAGTTTACATATGTTTTTTTTATTTATTTTTTATATTTGAATATTAATTATTATATCAAAACGCAGTACAAATAAAAAAAATAGACAAAAATTCTTCTACTAGTATCTTATAATACTAATAGAATGACGTTTATACAAAAAAATTATACAAATGTTAAATACAATAACGCATAAGATAAATATAAACTCATTAAGTGGAAGCAGAAAGTATTTTATTAAATAATTTATCTTTCCATAAATTTAAGTTTGTCTTGAGCATTCAAAATAAATTTCTATCTTTGTTTTTATTATAGTACATCGTTTTACACTTGGAAAAATATTTGCCTTTGATTTTGTATCCAATAAAAATTAAACTATTAATTTTGATTAGCAAAATTTATGTCCATGTATTCATTTTAGTTTCTTAAATTTATATTTTATTAAATAATTTATCTTCTATAATTATATTTTAGTAAGTATAATTTTATTTTTACACCAGCTAATATAAAAATACATTAGTTCAAGATATAATTTATTATTTATATTTTTTTATATGAAAAAAACATATGTCTAAATAAAATCAAAGTGAAATTAGTAGTTTTTTAATAAAATTGAAATTAAAAAAAAAATTAAAATAAAATATGAATATATCTGTATCTATCAATATATATATATATAAGTCGTTCAAACTGAAATCAACTGCTTTTAAACTGGAATCTTGAAATTTGAAATTGAAACAGAAATTAACAAATAAAATTAAAAAATAAAAATCATAACTTACAAAACTCAATTTTTATTTATCATTTAGTATGAACGATAACCCATGGTTTGGGCAATTTAACAAAGTTTAACTTATTATTTAAGAAAAAAAAATCATAAACAAAAATACATATATATATATATATATATTATTTTTAATGAATAAAATTTAAAATATTTACAATTTTTAAATCTATATCTTTTTTTTTTTTTTTATCTCTTACCAATTTTCTTTTATCAAAATATTAAATATATATATATATTAAAAATAAATGCTTATTAGTAATATAAATAACGGACAATTGGAATAAAATATTTATACCTATTTTCACATTTAAATTCAGTCCCTAGATCATTTTAATAAACACTGCACTCTCCCCTTTTTAAAAATCTTTACCATTAACTCCCCATTATTTTATCATTTCCAGTTTTGCCCTTCAATCCAAAATTCATTTTATAAATATCAATTTTCTCTCTCTATTTGTAGGTTTACTTTCGCGTGAAGGAAAAAATTGTGTCCAACATTTGGTTTCATTTGTGCGAAGAAAAAAAATTGTCTACATCGTTCGGTTTTGTTCGCGAGGAGGAGTATGTGATCGTTGGTGACTGTGATGGGTTTCAAATCTAAATCCAAAATTTTAGGTTTATTTCACGTAAAGGAGAAACTGGTAAGAATAATGTTCGATTCTTCAGTGTGTGATGTTCTATTGGTGCGATTATTTTGTTAGTTAATTATGATGGTTCTGTTAGGGCTTGCGGTCGATTCTAGTAAGTATTTTATTATTATTTCGATGATTGTTGTCTTGTTTGAAATTATGATTGCAGTAGTTGCTAATTGGGTTTCATTAAAACCTTTCGTTTGGGAAAATATATATAAGGGAAAAGTTTTCTGGGGGCCGTTGCGATTCCCTGCTAGTATCCATAGGTATTTTCAATGGTACTTTTTGCCAGTGTAGTATACCTATATTCATTAATCTTATACCCATATTGCCTGATATCGTATGATGCGTTTGTTTGAAAATACCCTGGTTTTTTTTTTTGGTATATACTATAATTAATCATATATGAGCATTGATATTTATCTTATGTGCTTGTATTAGATAATGTTAAAATCTTGTAGCTATGCAGTAGCGTTTACAAAAAATGATAAAAATTGGAAATGGTTTTGTTGAAATTTAAAGTTTGTTCTTTACGTTGATGGTCAATAATTGGAGTTAGTACACTTTTTTCAGATAGACATTCGGAACTTATATAGTCAATTCATGCGATATTTTCTAGCGCCCACTATGCATACTGTCTTCGGCACTTAGTTGGCAACTTTTGCACTTAGCTATATGTAAAATATATGTCATTTATTATTATATGTACAACAAAGTAATTACATTCAATATAGGTAATGCGGAGATATCCGATGCATAACAAGAAGCGATGGACATTCATTTTCAACAAGTCAGTTATGTCCCTCTACAGAAGGATTTTGAGCAGCATATAACGAATGTTATGGAGGCCATGCCAATTGCCTGAAACTTCATTGCTCAACTGCAACGCTAGTATGAGACGAATTATCTATTTCAAGAGACTCATTGGGGAATAATAAATAATATTATAACCGAGTCGTTGAATAGTTTGGTGCACTCAACAATGTCATTACCTTTTCTCAGGATGTTTTATTCCATCCGGCAACATAAATCAAATTTATTTATAAGGGTATTTAATAGTTTTGAAGAAATTGCTACAATCAAAATACGAGTATGTTGTGGCGTTCAGGGAGCATATTCATTAATATCAGATGTAACATATTCGAGTAAGAGGGTGCATCTTTGTGTATGAAAGTATTCATATTCGTATATAGGTATAATTATTGTAAACATGAGTATTTAAAAATCTATCCAAAATTTGTCATTGATTACTGTTGAATCAAATAGCTATTAGTTGATTATATCATACCCACTTTCTCGGAAGTTAGTGTGCATCAATGGATATTTCTAATAAAATTTATGAGATCACCTATTCATATACTCAAGGATAGATGAAAATGTCATTTCGAATATATATGACATAACATATCATGTACTGAATCATAGTAATAAACATTTTGGAGTTAGTACATAGCTAATGATGCATGATGTTCTTTGTATTGTGATTGTCTATGCAAGTATTTTTTAGAGTGTGAATAAACTCCCAACAAGAACAATTATGTTAGGTATAGTAAGTAAATGTTATGCATGAGGCGTATTGAATCATCTCATCTGATAAGGAATGTATTAGTCATTGATGTGTACATGAAACGTGTCAGCAATGCTTTCAAAATATTTGAGGAGTACATATATTCTCAATACATGTCAAATATGAATAAAATTACTTATAAAGTTCATTCCTTAATATGAGTACATTCAATAAATTTAGAAGTATGTAACTTGATGAATACACGAACAAATATCATCATTGGAGGTCTCTCGACACCCAACCATGATTGTAGCTAGCTTAGACAGTTGTGGGTTCAATAGATCATTGCAATTTCGTCGGCTTTGTCCACTTAAAGGTCTCTCGACACCCCCACACTCTTTATTGGCTTTATCCATGTTATCATTTTGTAGACTAGGTAAAAACATCCCAACAAACAAATGTATTAGAAGGTATGCTGAGTAAATATTATACATGAGACATATTAAAACTATCCACTCTATAAGTAAACATTTGTCATTGAGGTGTACATTAAACGTATCAATTGGTGCTTTCAGAACAGTATGGTGAGTACACATCTTTTTACTATATGTCGAATATGTAAAGCCTATTTTTTAATAAAAGTACATGTAATCGTGTCAGGAGTATGTAAGTTAGTTAAATGATGAACGCATGTCTTCATTGGAAGTATATTATTCAAATTTAAGGGTTTCTCTACACCCAACCATGAAATTTTGTGCACCAAAGTATATATCTTAATTATGTGTGTACGTACCTCTAATACCACTGTTTATATTTAATGCGTATCACATATGTCATATGTTAAATTAGAAATTATAATGAATCTCAAATTTTCTTGGCAAAATATAACATCAATGACTAACTACCCCAAATTAGAATCCACATGCTTCAAACTTTAATTATTCTCAATTTATGCATAAAAATTAACATATAAATCTGAAAAATGATACTATACAACACCTCAACGATCTCTTGGTAAATCTTCATAATAAATTTTGTTCGATATATTTTGACATCGTTAAATTCGGTAGTTCATCTGCTAGGTGGATAAATTTCGTGTTGCATAAAGCGTAACTCTCAGAGAACAAACATACTAATAACCCGCAATCATGGCTCTCACCTTGGGTCTGACAATATTTAAAACACATACATAAGTCTGCATGAGTATATACAACACCGATTCAAGTTTACGATAAAACTATATAGGTATATAACTTTCTTATAGAGGAACACCAATTGAAAATTAGGATACACATTATATATTATTTGTTGTAACTAAAAGCATTTTGAGGCATTAATGCACAATAGTAAAAACAATCAGAATTTTCATAAATCAACAAAATAAATACATAAACAACCAACAATGTAATAAAGATATCAACAAACACGTTCAATACGTAAAAACGTCACATGAGAAATCGACACCAACTATATTTGAAAAGAATTGAACTCCACCCACCTCATACTGCAACTGTTTTATTATAAAACTAAACCTAACAATATGATAATGAAGACACTTCTATATACAATAAGGTTATTTTCAATTTAAAACACATAAAAATAACATATATTTGAAACGATGATGAGTTACAATGTCGAAGTAAGCTCGGCTGACACTTAGGCTTGTACAAACCAGATAGAGACACAAAACAAATATTAAAGTATGCCACAAATTCGAAAGTACATAACTAAAATATAGATTTTACCAAATACAAAAAAATTAACTTAATTCTTAAACTTCGTTTGAAGAGAAACTCTTTTCTACATTTTGAGAAGATTGTGCACCTTTGTTTTATCATCTCGGTTGGTCTTTAATCCAAAAAATTTTCAATGCAGTGGAGACGACAACCTAAAAGTGGAAGGTGAAAATTTTCTGAAAAAAAAATGATTGAGATCGTGTGTATTTTTAAACTTGGTTATTTTTGTGTTATTTTTGCAACCAATTATAGTATATAAATAATAAACCAAGGTACATCACTTTGAAATTAAATTTGTATAGCACGTCAATTTTAAAGTATGTAAATAAAGAACGTAGGTTTACATAAACGCAATGTAAGTACATAATATATTAGTTATATATAAACATCATTTCAGGGGCAAAATGGGTAGTAGGGAGCTATCTGTAAATATTTTACAATAGTAGGGAGTGTAGTGCCTTGAAATAGTCTGGAGGGACTGAACTTAAATGTTGTTTACTTGACATGGATTTAAATCAAAGTCCCTCTATAAATAAAATAATATACTTATTTCTTTTTTTAGAGTAGGAAAAAAATCCCTGGAAAATGGGATTTTATACTATATAATTTGTTAACATTCTCAAATGAAAGATCAAACAAAATTTATGAAGTATTAAAACTGTTGAATATCTAAATATTTTTTAAAAACTTTTTAAGATCCTTAAAAATTCTAAAAAATTTTTAAAACAAATGTTGAGGAACCTCGTAGTTTATAAATTTTTAAAAAAATCTCATACATTTCCGAATGGGTACGCCACCTCTTGATCTCAATAATTTAGTAAAAATTGATGATTTTTTCTTTGAGTTTACGTGTATATATATATATATATATATGATTTTTTTGAAAAAAAAATATTATTATTTGGTTTAATCATTCTTAACAAAAATAGTTTTATATATAACATAATTACTATTATTTTTATCATTTAAAGATAGATCATTACTCTCGAATTGAGTCATTAGTCGGAGGCTCAACAAAAGTTCGGTTTTAAATATTTATACATTCACACTCCCACAACCAGCATACTTTTGTTGTAAAGGAATTCTTTCTCTAAACACTTTCTAAATTTGGCTGGTTAGGAGACTAAAAAATAGGATTTTTTAATTGATTCAAAAAATCAAATTTATAATGCAGATATATAATCAGTTATATAAAAATAAGGATAAATAGTAAAAACAATACAATTGGGAGATAAATTAAAAGGTTAAAAAAGACAACTTAAATAAGATGCATAAATTAAGATACTTCAAATAATAATAATAAAAAAATTAGAAATAAAAATAAACAAAAAAAAAAAGAAAAAGAAATAAATAGTAAATAATAAAGAAAATCAATGAAAATAAAAATTATTTTATTGTTTGATATGTATCCTTATGTGGATCACATCTATTTATTTATTCTTTCATTCTCACACTTTATCAAATTCCTTTGTAACTACTCTCTCAATCATCCATAAATTTATATTTAATTTTTTTCAAAAATATTTATTTTTTATTAATTCATTGATAGTTTCTTCAAAGATAATTAAATTTCTCCAAAATCATTAAATATGGAAGACTATTTCCTTCAACTTCCATTAAATTTCTTGGCCCATTGAATCAGGCCTCAATCTCGGTGGGTAAAGCCCTAATCCAAGCTCAATCTTATTAACTCTCTTTCTTTTATCTTATTTTGTCCCAAAAGTTGCTTCATTTGGGCCTTTTGAGTTTTGGATCGTCGAATTGGGGCTATAGACCTTTGCAAATTTTAATTTTTCTTTGGTTCGAATTAGGTGGGACTTTGGACGTGATTCAAGTTAGGCCTTAGAACTTAATTTGTTGTGCTTGAACTTTGGGCCGAAAATAATAGATGTTCTCTTAAAAATGTGGATTGATTGAATTATCAAAAATAAAATTTTAAATTAAAACTACTTGATATTTTCAAATGTATAGCATACGACTCAAATAATTTCTTCCTCTCTGCGAGGTATTATGATTTAGGGTCCAAAACTACTAGAGGGTCCACAAGAACTTTCCTTGGAATTTCTTCACCATTTTTTAATCTTTGGTAGCAAAACGAAGTTGATATTTGATAGCAACTATTAATGATGACGGTAAGATGCATAACACAACTTTAGGCCAAACCGAACTTCTTGACCTAAAACGGTGTTGATCCAAGTTACCCTCGAATCAACTTCATCTCATAAATTAATATTTTCCAAAGAGTATTCTGTTTCAAATTCTAGTATTGATCTTTAAATTGAAGAAAATGGGTTTCTCCTTTTATTGATTGTCTTTTGGTGAAATGAAGTCAATTAATTTCCACTTCCCTCACAAAGTATATTCTAGAACCGGCTCAGTTTGTATTATAAATGGTCTCATTTGGTCTTTGTATTTCAAAATCATTTAAAGAACTTTAGTCTTTGTAGTAATTTGTGTAATCAAGTCATGAGTCATACCTCAAATCCTCTAGAATTTAAAATTGCATTCTTTCCATGTTTATGATTACAACAAAATTATTAACAACAGAAAAATATTGAAAAGAAAAAATAGATAACTTCAAAACTACTTTTGTATAGACTTACGTTTTGGTTTTCATCTTTCAAACTTAAAAATTATTGAAAGATCCTCTAAAACATATGGTAGGGATGGAAACAAATAGGAGGCGTGTGAAGTTGCCCCAAACTCTTTATTATTTTATTTTTAATATAAAAAATACTATATATTTATAATTATATTAATGACTCCTCACTTTAAGTCAACATCTGATTCAGGATAAAATATTTTTTGTCCACTATTAATTTTTTTAATTTTAATTTATAGAAATTAAGATTTAGTATATCTAAAAAGAAAAATAAAAAAAAAAAATTTCAACCTAAACTAAAGCCCCTCCCCCACCTCCGTGGAGTACATTTGTTTCCCCGAATTTTTTACATTTTTTTTTCTTCTTCTTATTTTCCTTATTT